AGGGATTATTAGAATCCCCACCCCCCAGCCAGCTCCTGGCAGCCTAAGAAGCTGGATTTATTTCCCAGGGCTACAGAATGCCAGGCAATTAGGCCTCTGTCTGCCCTGGCTTCTGCTGGGGGGCATTCAGAGCAACTCACCAAGCAGGAGCACGAAACCAGGCCCAGCCAGGAGCTCTGGTCCCTCCCCACCCATCCCTTGGGTGGCATCAGCCCCTGGGAGATATGCACAGGCACAGAAGAACCAGGAAGGGGCTTCAAGGGAGGACCCTCCAAAGAGCTTCAGAGGGTCCTGCCCAGGTCCAGGGTGGAGGCTGCAGCCCCTGTGACACCCACCCATTCTCCCTAAAGCACATTCACAGAGGGTCACCCACGAGCCGCTTCCCCTGGGTGTGGCGAAGCCATGACAGGTGCTGCCAGTACTGTTCTGAGAGGAGCTAAGTGGGATGTGGGGTTCCAAAGGCCAGTGAGAGCATGGCTTTATTGCAGCCACAAGCCCTCAGCTCCCAGTGAAGTATCAACTCCATTTTCTCCTCCTTATTGCAACCCTGCCACTGCTACCACCCCATTTCCGTGGGGGAGTAAAACCCAGAGCTCCTCCTTCACCCCTGCGGGGTCCCTTTCTCCACAGCACCAGAGAAGAGAATGACACCCCTCGAAAGTTTGTAGGGAGGGTGGGTCATCCCCAAGGTTGGAAGATGGTCTCTTCTTACCCAAGACCAAAGGCACAGCCATCAGTCATCTAATGGGACCCCCAGGGCATGGATTTGTACCACTGGATTTTAACCTGCAAGCAAGGTGAAGCCCAGGAGTGTCTAGCCCTTGCCTGGATGGGTCCCAGGTAGAGGCAGGGTGGAGATCAGGCTCATCTCCCTCGGCCAGCAGCACCTAGTTGCATCTGGCTGAATCCAACCACGTGCTAGAGCCCACCTTCAGATGGCTTCCCTGCCAAGCTGCCCGGGTTCCTGAGTGCATCCTCACCCCGGACACACCCACAGGGCTGGGAGCTGGTGGCCAGCTGGGAAACTCCTCTCCCTTCCCTCTTGACCACCTCTAGTGCCCAACCCCAGCTCTAAGGGTGACCCTGGAAGTTCTACCACTGAGCGGCAACCTCCATTGCCAACCATAGCCAGGGGCCTGGGAAGCAGGTCAGGAGTGCATCGTGCACCTGTCCACACAGGTGTGCCTGCTTCCTCCAGATCTCCAACACCAGAGGACTCACGGGGCCTCTCCCACCCGAGATAGCAGCACAGCCCTGAGCAGCTTCTCGTTTGTTGTCATCCCATCGTCTGTCCTTCTTTCTAGTCATTCCCTGGGCAAACCAGGAGGGAGCAGGCCCAGGCCCTGCCCTCATAACAACCCCGCAGGACACAGAGAATCAGTCCTCAAGGCCAGCACAGGCCCAGGGTGCTGTGCGAGCCCAGGGGAGGGAGAAGGGAAGGAGGGGAGGGAGGGGAAGGAGAGCTGGCTTGATTTTGGTGGAGGGGGTGGGGGGCATGTACCAGGAGTCAAGAGGCCCAGAGGAGACAGGAGCGCATTCCAGGCTGTGGGAGGGGCAGGAACCAAGACATGGCACTGTTATCTGGGAATAGGAAAAGGCTGGTGGCTGGGTGGAGGGGTGGGAGGATGTGGGGTGGACTCCTCTGCAGGGCAGGAGGGGCCCCTCACAGCCCACCATGGGGGGGGCACGGGCGGGGGAGGGTCACTTCCACTCATTGGCAGCCCCCCCCCAAGGCACAGCATGGGAGGAAACTCTGGAAATGGCTGCAATGGGGGGCTGGGGGGGATGGGAGTCATGCTCAGAGGTCTCCTTCTCTCAATCTCTTGATCACACCGTCTATGGGACTCTGGGTCCCTCCCCTTGCCTATTCCCTCAAGCACCCTCCCCAGGCCCCAGCCCACTCTCACTCATTGGCCCTAGCAGCACCCTCCAGGTTCATGCACAGTGGTCCTCGGTGCCCTGCTAGGCTGAAGTACAGGATGCTCGGCACGGCCCCGGACACACCCCACTCTGGTGAGGGGGGCTCACTAAGCTGCAGCTCAGCCAACTCTCCTGGGTTCACCAATGGTCACCTGGGTGGTCTGGCTGTGTCAGCTCACGTCTGCTCCCTGACGGTCTGAGGGCCCCAGGAGGGAGGGGGAACCAGGTCTGATGCACCTATCAGACTCCTGAGCAGGTACCAGCTCTGTTCATTGACTAAGTGACCAGCGCATCCCAGACAAACCTATTTGTTGTGGAATAGGGCAGGGGACACAGGCCAGGGGTCTAAGCAGAGGTTAGCGCAGGCTGTGCCTTTCATCCTGCAGCCCTGTCTGTAAGATGGAAGGGATCAATTAAGGTCATAACAGCCATCAAAGGGCACATGTACTGTTGAGGTGCAAGAGAGCTGACAACTGTAATCTGTTCTTTCAGAGTCTCTGGCTGGGAAGTTCCTTCAGATATCTGACCTATATCCCTGCCACTGCAGGGAAGCTGGTTTTGCCACTGTGCTGACTCCCGCAGACACAGTCTTCAGGGGGCCCAGTGGGGACAGCCTGAGAACAGTCTTCTGTCCTATCACGTCCCTAATTGGTAGTATTAGAGTAATGAGTCACAGACAACAACCAATTAATTATCCTCAGTTATAAAAAGCTTCGCTTCCCCTTCCTGGCTGTCAGTGAGCCGGCCTCCTGCTGCCAAGGCTGCTCCATGCTCTCTGCGCAGGGGGCAGGAGAGGAGGTCACTTCACCTCTGAGGTCCCCCATTTCCTGTTTCTGTATTTGTCCAGTGTGTGTCCTGGGAAGGGGCAGCATGAGCAGAGCTTGAGGAGGAGGGACAGCGGGGCCTGGGGCGGGCGGGAAGGATGCAGAGGACTCCACCCCGGCTCCACGGGGCACCCCTGCAGGACGCAGGCAATGCCGAGGGTCCCAGCCTGGCAGCAGAGGACACTCCCCGCATGTCCCAGGCTCCTCAGGCAACTCCTCGCTCCCCTGCTATTCCCCATCCTCTTTATTTGGGGTGGCCGGTGGGGGAAACCGGGGATTGAACTCAGGAGCACTCAGCCACTGAGTGACATCCCCAGCCCTATTTCGTATTTTATTTTTTAGGGACAGGGTCTCACTGAGTTGTTTAGGGCCTGGCGTTGCTGAGGCTGGCTTTGAACTTACAATCCTCCTGCCTCAGCCTCCCAAGCTGCTGGGATTACAGGGGTGCACCACTGCCCAGCTCCCCCTGTCCTCTACTTCCCTTGAGCCTTCACTCAGATACACATCCTCAAGGCACTGGGCTCCCCAGGAGGGGAAGGTGCATGGTGCTCGTGGAGGCTCTTCTCCTCAGGCAGTTCTCCTCTCCCTTCCCAGCACTTCCCAGGTCGCAGAGGCCTCTATACGTTCAGCAAAATTGACGGAGCCCCTACTCTGCACCTCCTGTCACTGTGCCAGCCTGGCCTGGGCTTCCTGTGGCTCCTTCAGCCTTGGCCCTGTCCCTGGAGCCCTAGCGCCTGCCCCACTCCAGCTCCCACGAGCAGCCTCGAGCCCCTTCCTCCACCCAGAACCCTGTGCCAGCCACATCCAAGACCCACCATGTTCTGACTCCAGATAGGCTGGCCTGGGCCTCCAAGGGGCACACCATGTCCTGGGAGGGCACCTCCCTCCAGGACTGCGCTGGTGGCCAAGGGGTTTGGAGCTCAGCCGTCCTCTGCCTCCGGGTTGCCCCGGCTGTCTTTCAGCCCCCATCCCCATAGCTGTCGGATCAACCCCCCCCCCCCCCCCCCGGGGCCAGTGCTGGGCTCTTCCTGGCAGTGGGGCTGGGGGACTCTGGTCCAGTCATTCCCTCCCTGGCTTGTTTCACAGGCCTGCTGAGAGGAACAGAGACGGTGTGTGTCAGCACAGCGCTGCCCCAGAGCCAGTCACTCCCCATCCCTAATCTCCCATTGCTGGCCATGAGCAGGGTGTTGTCACCTCTAGTTCCCAGGTGAGGCAGCTCATGGGGGAAAGGCCTCCTAGGCTGGGGCCTGGAGGGGGGGCCGGGGGCTCGGGTCCCAGGACTGCAGGGGCCTGCTGTGAGCCCTGAATAGGCCTCAGCCTCTCTGTTGCCTTGGTCTGGCCACGTTGTCTTCTCTATCCTGGGAATGGGGACATGGGCAAGGAACCTGGCCTGGTGGCTACTCTGGTGGTCCCTGCTTTTCATGGATTGGGAGTTACGAACCCAGACTCCTGTCTCAGTGTCCCTTGCCAGCATAGGCAGAAGAGGGCAGACAAGATAGCCTGACCTCTGCCTCCAGACAGCCCGCTGACTTGGCCTCCGACCTGGGAGGCAGCCTGCCTAGGCACTGAGGCTTGCCTGGGGCTGCCTGAATTACCAGGCTGGCTTCTTTGTTCAGACAAGCAGGAGGGAGGAGAGCTGTTCTCTAGGCAGCAAAGCTTTTAGATAAACACCACACAGGAACTGGGTTCCTTCAGAGAAGAAACCAGATCCACCCGCTGATAGCGCCCCGGAGACAGGAGCGAGGGGTCTAGCCTGGGAAGCCTGGCACTGAGGGGGCCTTCTTTATCTGGCTCAGCACCTGCTGCCAGATCTAGCAGGCCAGGGGCTCAGGTGACTGGGCCCTGGTGCCAGACCCCGGCCCTGGCAGCTCCCAGGCTCCGGAATGGCTGGGCCCACCTCCTCAGTCTCCTGCCACTGCCCACTTCTAGACCTGCCAGGACTCGAAGCTGGGAACTTTTTCTCTTGGGGTGACTTTGCCTCTGTAGACCCTTCCTTCCCAGACCTTGGGAGCAGCCCAGTCCCCATGCCATCAGAGGAAAGTTAACAACTAGCCACATCAGGACAGCTGAGCACCTGCCAGCCTACCTGGACAGGTGGGTTCAGGAATTACTACAAGCCCAATTCACAGAGGAAGAAACAAACCCAGAAAGGTCATTGACCTGTCCAGAGCCCCCCAGGATAGAGACAGCGAACGCCCCATCTCCCTGGGTCCTGGGCTGGCTGGGTCCCTCTCATGGCGTCCCAGGGTGGCTCACCGGTGTGGTGTCATCATGAGAGCGCTGGTAGCGCTTCCAGCGGCAGCCGTAGATGCCGGTGAGGCAGGAGAGGCACAGCTGGGGCTCGTAGTACTGCAGCGGCTGGTGTCTCACCATGCTCGTGCCCGCCGCCCTGGCGCCCAGCCCTCAAGCACCCATGGAGGCTCCGGAGGTCCTGCGGGAGGAAGCACAGGGCTGTGAGGCCGGGCCGAGGAGATGGGCTCAACACTGGAAGCGTCATCGTAGCCGAGGGGTGCTGGGGGGCAGCCTCTGGTCAAGCCCTGAAGTGGGTCCTGTCTGCCTGGAGTCAGGTCCCCAAATCTGTCCCTGCCATCTACTCACGACCTCATCCTGCCTCCTCCTTCTCCTGCCGACCCCTCCCGTGTCCTGCGCCCTTGCCCAGCATGCTGCTCTTTCCTCTGCCTGGGAGGCTCTGCCCTTAGAAACCTGCAAACTCGCGTAGCTTCCTCTTTCCCTTCCTCTCTTCAGGTTTTGGTCAAATGTCTTCTTTCAATGAGACTTCCCCAGATGACTTACTACAGAACTGGAATCTCTTCCTGTATTCCCTAAGCTCCCTCCCACATTCTCAGTTTTACTTTCTCAATCATTTTTTTTTTTGTACCAGGGATTGAATTCAGGGCTGCTTTACCACTGAGCCCCGTCCCAGCCCTCTTTACTTTTTAAATTTTAAAACACTAAGTTGCTTAGGGCCTGGCTAACTTGCTGAGGCTAGCCTCAAACTTACAATTCTCCTGCAACAGCCTCCCCCATAGGGCTGGGGTGACAGACGTGCACCACCACACCCAGAGCAACCATATTCTTAAATTTCCTTGCTTATTTTGTTTCTTATGTGCCTACCCCATTATAAGTTTCACGAAGGCAGGATTTGTGTCTATTTTATTCCCTGCTCTAGCCCCTGTAACTGGATCTGTGCCTAGCAATAGTAGACTTTCAAAATAAACACTCTCAAATACATTATCATAACAGCTGACATGCACTGAGCACTAAAATACAGCAGGCCCTGTGTACATCCACTGTTCCACCTGGTTGTCACAATAAGCTGAAGTGGCAGGTAGTGTCCTAAACCCATTTGACAGTTGAACAGATGAGGCTCAGAGAGAAAAAGGGGAATGCCTGGCCTGCAGTCACACCTGGGTATGGTGGATGTAGGAATCTGCTCCAGTGCCCCAAGGTGTTCATTCTCCAGGCCTCCGAGCTACAGCTAGCCCTCATCACTGTTTCTTTGGTGAGATAGAATTCACATGCTGTAAGAGCCACCCTTTCACATTGTACAAGTCTGTGTTGGTCACCTTCAATTTTTCCTATAGTCACAAAATTGTGCAACCATCCCACCACCCAATTCCACTTCCTTCATCGCCATCAAGCCGCATACCTATTAGTAGTCAGGTCCCCCTACTTACCCCAGCTCACCTCTGGACCCTGCAACTACTTTGTCTCCATGAACTTGCCTATTCTAGAGACTTCAGACAGATTCATGGAACATGTGACCTTCCATGTGTGGCTCACTTCGTGTGATGTTTTCAAGGTTCATCCAGGTTGTAGCATGGGTCACAACGTCATTCCTTTTTATGGCTGAATAATATTCAAGTGTATGGATATTCCAGATTTTGTTATTCTTTTTTAATATTTATTTTTTGTTGTAGTTGGACACAATACCTTTATTTCACTTACTTATTTTTAGGTGGTGCTGAGGATCGAACCCAGGGTCCTGCATGTGCGAGGCGAGCGCTCTATCGCTGAGCCCCAACCCCAGCCCACATTTTGTTATTCTTTTTTAATCAGTAGATGGACAACTTGGTTTGTCACTGCTTTTTAGTTGCTATAAATAACACTGCCATGAATGCGGTTTTGTGTAGATATATGTTCTCATTTCTCTTTAGAAATAGATTAGGGATAGATTAGCTGGGTCCTGGGTCAGATGATAAATCTTAGGTTTAACTTTTTTTTTCTTTTTTTTGTACTGGGGATTGAACTCCAGGGTGTTTTACCTCTGAGCTACATCCCCAGTGCTTTTTTTAAAAATTTTGATATATAATTTAAGTTGCTGAGGCTGGCCTTAAACTGAAAATCCTCCTGACTGAGCCTCCTGAGTCACTGGAATTATAGGCGTTCATCTGTGGGCCTGGCTTACATTTAACATTTTGAGGAAGTGCCAAACTACTCTTCATAGTGGCACCACCAGTTTATGTTCCCAAAATATTATCATTGCCATCCTCATTTTACAGATGAGAAATCTGAAGCACAGAAAGATTTAGCTACTTACCAAAGGTCACACAGCAGAGCCCAGAACTCACACCCAGGCAGTCTGGCTACAAGGGCCTTTCATTAAGCCTAGGGTTAGCAAACTAACCCAGAGGCCACCAAACCCCACCTGCTGCCTTGTTTTATACAGCTCAAAAGCTAAGAATGTTTTATTTTTAATTATTTTTAAAATACTGTTTTAGTTGTAGGTAGACACAGTATCTTTATTCATTTATTTTTATGTGGTGCTGAGGATCCAACCTAGTGTCTCACACATGCTAGGCTCCACTACTGAGCCATATCCCCAGCCCCCTAAGAATGGTTTTCACATTTTTAAATAGTTGGGGAACAAAATCAAAACAAGAATATCTTGTGAGACATGAAAATTAGATGAAAGTCAAATTTCAGTGTCCATAAATAAAGCTTTATTGGACACAGCCACACTCAGTCATTTATGGATTATTGTCTGTGGCTGCTTTAACTATAACTGCAGAGTTAAGTTGTTGCCACAGAGACCATATGGCCGGCAAAGCCCAAAATACTCACTGTCTGGCCCTTCGGAGGGAACAGGCAGACTCCTGCACCAGGCTCCACTGCTTCTGGGCCAGCATTGTAAGTGCCACAGGCGGCAGGCACGTGGTGGGGGAAAGAGGGGCTGTGGGCACTTGCCGTGTGCAGGAAGGGTCAGGGCCTGCTTCCTGAGGAAGGGCTGAGCTGAGGCCGTAAGAAGAGCTCCTAAGATGCCTGTCTCTAAGTGCCTGCTCCCAGGTGCCCCTTGGGGAACACTGGGCTTTGGGCTTACTCACTACTTCTTCCTCTGGGCCTCGCCAGGGCCTCTGCCTATCTCCTCCTCCCACCCCCAACCCCACCACCAATGCTAACCTCAACCTAGGGATTACAGCCTCCGGTCCCCAGGGGAAGATGCATTAGAGCTTTTGCTGGGAATACTGAACGACCATGAGCCTCTTAATTGCTGGGAGTTGTCTGATGCAGCCTCTGTCCCAGGGGCTCTTGGAGAGGCATGTGGAATATGGTGCTGCTGAAGGGACTTCCCTGAGCCCAGGGCCTGGGGGGCAGCATGGTGTAGGGATGACTGCCTTTGCCTTGGCTTTGTTGGAGAAACACATAGGGGTAGGCAGAAAGGTGTCTGAGTAGCACAGCAGTGACCAAAGCTCAGCAAGTGGGTGTTCTGGGAGCAGGAACCCACAGCCATGTCCCCAGTCCTTTCCCAGCATCCTTGACCATGGGCCTGATGCCCACAGGTCCTCTGCTGCCCCTTCCCAGTCACCTCCTTACAACCCACCTGGGAATGGAAATTCCGCTTCAATCTGGAAAAGCGGGAAGTGGAACAGCACACATCTCGCCTTGGCCCAGGGCTCAGCGGATGACTGCTGGGGTGACTCTTCTCTCTCCCGAGTGGGTGTGCATCCTGCCATGCTGGTGGGACTCCCCTGGGAGGCAGACCTCCCCTCTTTCCTCTGTGTGTTCTCCCAGCAGGGACAGCTCGTCCACTCCCACAGCTGCAGTTATCATACCCTGCCAAGGTCACCCAGTCTCCACCTCTGATGGAGATGGCCAGTGGCTGTTTCCGAGAGTGACACCCAGGCTCCTGCAGACCCACTCTGTGCGGTGACCTCCTTGCCATCCCCAGCGGGCTTCTCACACCCCTCCGGGCCCTCTTCTCACCATCCTCAGCCACTCCTCTGGTTCAGGCCTCTTCTTTCCCCTGGTGTCCCTGGAGTGGGCCCTGTCCCTCCATTAGGACCTTCCTGCTGAAACCAGAGTGAACTTTTTCACCAGCCACGTGACCAGGATCTGGCCCCTGCCGCTCCTCCTGCCTGGCCTCTCCAGAGCTTTCAGTCCCTTGTCTAGTTACCTCTTCCTGATCCTTTGAATCTCAGCTCAGATGTCTCTTCCTCTGGGGAGCCTCTCCTGAGCCCCAGCTTGGTGAGAGCCTTCCCATAGCCCTGCATATCCCCCCACTCTTACCCGGGCACACCACATATACACCATTGACACGCCTGTCTCCTCCATGGGATGGCCTGGTTATCCCCACGTCCCCAGTGACTGGCACAGGGCCGTGAGAAGAGAAGACACTAAGGGCTGGATTCTGCTTCAGGGGGGACCCAGAAATTCTGCTCACAGATGTGCAGTTCAGACACTGGGCAGCAGACACTCAAACAAGCTCTCGAGTCAGCACGCTTCCCACCCGTCCCCAGCCATCAACACACCTCCCCTTCCTGCCAGGCTAATGAAAATCCTTAGCATCAACAGATCTCTCAAAGCCACCTCCCAGGACTGCTGATACCAGCCAAGTTCCTGAGAAATCCCTTGCCAATAGCTCCTGCTGGCTGTGGGACAAAAGAAAGCCCCTCCCCAGCACAAAGTCCTGTTTTCTGTCTGAATTTCTGGCCCCTGCCCTGAACTTCCGTGGTCTCCTGTTTGCACAGGGAAAGACCTTCCCAGAGTCACGCCTGAGAGGCAGCCAATGCCCACATGCAGCCGAAGCAGGATGTTGAGGCTGAGCCCCCACGTCCAGGGTCCTCTGCCATCCCAACATCCCAGAATGTGCCTGACCTTTATCCCAGCTCCGCCAGGCTGTGAGGCCCTTACTTTCCCAGACCCTGTTGCCTGCTGTTTATCCTGAGAGCAGACAGAGTTTCAGGCCAGGTGTGAGGGCCTGGGTTCTACCTGGTCTCCCTCAGACAGGCCACCAGCTCTCTCTGAGCCTTGGGCGGGGCATGTGGAAGTGCCTGAGTCTGCAATCAAACCTGATGAATCTGAACAACTTGAAGGAATCTTAAAATTATGCTAAGTGAAGGATGCTAGTTATAAAGGGCTAAAATTATACGATTCCAGAAAAGTCCAGAATAGGCAAATATAGACAGAAAGTAGACTAGTGAAAGCCAGGGC